CAAGGATGCTGCTGCTGAGGGACTACAACTATTCTCAGTTCGGTTATACTATTCTGGGTCCAAACACACTGAACACTTTCTGACAGTTTATCCATATCCTGGAGGGGAAATACCATTGCAACAGGGAAAAAAAAGCTCATTGTCAGTTCTATGCTATTACCTACAGAGGGCCTGGCAGGCACATGGTAGGTGCTTAATAGTAAATGCTCATTGACTAACTGAATTAACTTCTTAGCCTTCTTAGATAAAGATACAAATGCTAGAGTTGAAAGAGACCATGGGGATTTAGTTCAATCTGCTTATTATAAAAATAAGGACATCGAGGCCCAGGGAAGTGACTTATTCAAACTTTATAGCTAATTAATGGCCAGAGAGACACAGAACCCAGGGACGCTTATTTCCAGTCTAATATTCTTTCTACTTAGTAGGCTGCTTTCTAATCCTTTATAGATTCATCGAATGGTATTAATTTTTTCCCCTATCCCGATTTTCCCCTTTTGTTTCTCTCACAGATTACATTGGGAACGTTACTACCATTTTAACACAATGGCGTACCCACATATACCCAGCCACACACTGGGTGGTGATGCCTACTGATAACAGACTTCCAACATAATGTGTGTGACCTATTTTTGCTTCCCAATCTCAGTAATTACAAAGGCAGTAGGCCTGTAGGAAATATTCATAAATGGCAAAAGCTATACTCTATACATTTATGTTAAACATGTCAAACCTGATTGAAATCATGCCTGCCAGCAGCATACTCCACAAACACACTTTTCTCTAACAATTTCCTAGATCTCTCCAGTCCATTAATACCTCCTTTAATAGCAATCTACCATGGATTTGAATCAGGGACACTCCACTAATTGTTCCATTAGGTGAGCATCCGGGCTTTAAAAAAAATTAATAAAATAAAAGAAAAATCCCTTTAGGCCATTTCTCCAGAAATAGCACAAACGATAACCCAAGTTAGGATCAAAACAACAAACTAAAGAACAGAACAGAACTGTTCAAAAATCTCAGTGTCATTAAGCTGGATTCTTTTCTGTTTCCCTTTTTAAACCACCACATCATTTCCCCCCCCCCCAGGTTTTCTTGTCTCAAATGAACCTCATTAGGTCCACTGTGGGGCTCTTTGACTGAAAACCAAAACAGTTAAGAGTGTACAAAGATAATCATTTTGTTATCACTTTTTTTTTCCAGTTCCATTTGCTCCCTAGTTATTGGTGATAAAAGTATCATTTTAATTATCTGTGTGTAGTTTGTATCAATTAATAATTGATTGGCTAATTGCTATGATAATTGCTATTCATTTGTTGACACCAGGGGTTTTTCAATCTACTACTCACATACACAAATCTACTCTGGAAAGATCAAGGAGCTATTTTTATATCTCAACTAGCAAATAAAGAGGGGGGGGCGAAGTTTGCTGGAGAAAATGGCTGCACATGAAGGAAGGAAGACACTTCTCTCTAAAAGCATTTCCAGACACTTGGCTCGCCTGTGGAAATGTTCCATGCTTTCTATTAACTTTGCTTGTAGTGAGTACAAAGGGTAGTGACCATTCACATGAAGCTTACGACATGTCACTACTATTGTTACTTCTAAACTTCACGTTTTTAGATTTCAAGTAGCTTCGCTGACAAAGAAGGTGACCTGAACAGATCTGAATAATTTTCAAGCCACCAGTGGATTATCAACAACTTGGCGGACTTGTCTTAAACTTCTTTCTATGCCTGCCCAGGACGGACAGCTTGTGCTTCCACCAAGGCCAATGCTGAGGCAGAACAAATTAGGTTAGCGCTTAGTCAGACCTTTCTCAGGTGAAGGTACAGGTCCTTGAGAGGAACAGGTTACACAACAGTTTATAGTAGGTGAAAGGGCAAAGGGATCTCACTCACCCTCTGGGCTGCCTCTGGGAACTGGCCAGCCTTCACCTGATTGCTAAGCCACACATCAGATGCCTTGATCCGTGTGTTAAGATATTTCGACTCATGGTTAGCCTACGGCAAATGTGGTTAACTTGGGTCTGCCTCATCTCTAGACTTAGGCCCACAATTACACTAAAAAATCGGGATCCTGTGTTCAGGAATGTTAAGAATCATTATGTCAGTTTATTTTCTACTTGTTAAACAAGACCATGCCTTAAACAAATCACCTTCTGAGGACTGACGCTGTCATACTTTCTCCTAGGAAAAGTATTCTCATCCTCTGCTTCTCTCCTTAAGCCCCAGAACAACCCCTGATTCTGTATCTTAATCAGATAACCCCATTGTGCACTCCCTCACCTACAGTCAATCCATACCACACCCATCTTTGCCCCCCACTCCCACCCCATAGTTCTTCCTTTGCCCTAGTCATTGGGAAAGAGGGGAAGAGAATAACTTTTTATATAGTGCCTACTGTGTGCCAGGCACTGGGCTAAATGCTTTACAAATCTTATTTCATTTGATCCTCACAACAGCCCAGCACATTATTATCACCCCCATTTTGTAGTTGAGGAAACTGAGTCACACAGAGGTTAAGTGAGTTGTCCAGGGTCACATAAATGTGTAAGGCTGGATTTGAACTGATGTCTTCCTGACTCCAGCTGTCTCTAAAAAGGTGGTCCCTTTTCTATGCTAAGACAAACCCCTCAATTTGTGCCTTTGATGTCATTTCCATCTCTCTGTCCTCTTAGAGATTCTCATCTTCACTTTCACATCCTCAACTTTTTCCCATCTATAGACTTACTTCCTTTTCACTGCCTACAAACACGCCCAGCTCTTTTCCACAATAAAAAAACAAACCAACCAAAAAATGCCCGACCCTTCGCCTGACTCTGTCATGCCCTCTGGTTACTGTTCTCTTTTTCCCTTTCATGGTCCAACTCTTAGAAAGAGTCTACCTACTTCTCTCACCCCTCATGATCTTTTATTTCAGTACAAGTCTGACCAGGTCACTACCACCCTTGAAAACTTTAAATGGTTTCCTGTTGCTTTGAGGACAAAAATACAAATCCCTTAGGCTCTTTATCTACCTGTCCTATCCTTTTTTTTTTTTTGCATCATACCACCTCCTTACATACCTTAGGTTCCCTACATTTGACATTGTCTTCTACCTCCACACATTTGGCATCAGTCATCCCCGGGCCTGTAATACACTGCTCCATCATTATCTTTTCCTCTTAGGACCCTTATCTTTTTCAAGGCTTAACTCAGGTACCACCCTACTCACCAGGCTTCTCCTGATGCCTAATCATCAGTAGTCTTTCTCTCTCCAAATTAGTTTATGCTTACCTATCTCTGCACATGCTTTATTTTCTTCCCCAGTAGAATGTGAGCTCTTTGAGCATAGGTAGCGCTTCTTTTCTTTTTTGTCTTTATATCCCCACATAAGGAATGTCTTGCTTAACAGCACTGGAGGTGAAGAAATGCTTATTGAATAGAATAAGTGATTTCCCTATTTCTGAAAATACTCTGGATTCTAGATGGTTATAGTTCAACCCCTAGTAACCTGGCTTTAGATCCCAACCACTATTTCCATGATGATCAGTGATCCAGAGGCAAAATCCAATAGTTTTTTCTCAGCGCTCAGCCTCTCTAGCTACAACCGTTGGACTTGGCAAGGAGTCCTTCTACCATCCCCTTACCATCCATGACAATACTCTCTCTTGGCTCTCCCTACTCTCCAGCCCGAGCTCCCCTTTTCAGTCTTTTTCGCTGGATTATCATTCACATCCTACCCCTGAAGCATGCATGTCCTTGGAGGCTCTTCTGTTTATCTCTGTGATCTCATCAATGCTCCTGGGTTCAAACATCATTCCATACAAGACTCCAAAATTTCTATTTCCAAACCTAATTTCTCTCCTGAACTCCAGCTCCACATTACCAACTTCTGGCCAGATATCATACCTTGAAAGTTCCAATTACATAATACCTAACTTAATTTTGTTCTATAATTTCAAGCTTTTTAATTCTTTAGAGCAGACCCAGAAATGCAGTGTACAACTAGCTACAATATGCTCCTTTCAGACCGAGTTGCCCCTCATATTTCTCTTTTCGGGGTTAAAAAGCCCATGATCCCTGCAGCCTTTTCTCATAGGCAGTATTTTCCAAGCCTTCATTCATTTTCATTGTTCTTTTCTGGACCCTCTCCAAGTTTCTGTATCTTGTTTAAATGGTGAAGCCCAAGAATGAACATGATTTAAGTATAGTCCTGCCTGGAAGTGAAGCAAAGTCCTGACCAATGCTGGCTAAGAAAGCTGATTTTTTTTTTTTAATCTCAGGGCATTACAATATTAACAATGGTGTGCAATATGAATTAGGTTGACCAAATGAAAGTTTCTTTTTTTTGGCTTGACACATTTCCTTTTGTTACTATGGTGTTTTTTTTTTAATTTAAAAGCAACTTATCAGCTTCTGCTCCTCTGTTCCCTCTTTCCTCTGAAACTACCTTTCTTCCTCTCAGAATGTAATGTTTCTCCTGAGTTTTGCCCTCTTTTTTTTTCAGGACAGAGATGCAGCTTTGATACTTGAGTTTCTCCAGGAAAAGGCTTCCTTCTCCTCTCTTAGGCTTAACCATATCACCTCAGCTTCATCTAGCACCTCAAATTGAGAGTGTGGGGACATGAAGCATTCATTCCGCAAATATTTCATCAACAAACCTTTACTGTGCCCGTGTGGGTGAAAAGTACTACGTACCCTATTCTAAGCCTAGTATCAACTCTCTTTTCAAATCCTGTAAAGAGGTAAAGAAGAATAAAGATCTTTACTGTTAGCTCAATATCAGGAGTAATAACAAAGAAAAACTGAAGAGCAGAAGTGATCTCATATAAAAATTTGAATATCAATATAAAGAAATTATATATTTATATAAATGCATTTATGCAAACACACACACACACACATAAATTCAGTTTATCTCTGATGACTCAACAAATTCTGGATCACCTGTTTTCTCAGTTACTATATAGTTTAGAGTATCGGATTCAGGTTCAAAGGGCAGCCCAAACCTACCTGGCCACTTGCCCTGGTCTTTATCACCTCCACTTTCTGGATCTTTAGTGAGCTCCTCTGGGTCAGCAGCTGTTTCACTGGGTCCTTCGGCATCTTCAATTGATTCTTCTGAAACAGAACAAAAAACACAAATGTCAATTGTTTTTTAAAGAGAAAATGCAGGTCTCTTAACAGCTATTCCAAAGAACTGACAAACAGCCAAAACAGAGATGCCAGTGATTCTGGCCTGTTGTACCTGACAGGCTGAAATGCACCAGGAGGTGTACAAGGCTCAGCAGGACAGTTCTGACCAGAATCGCTTTCTACTTCAAAAGCAGTAAGGTAAGCTGGGATATAGATGAAAAACAAGTACTTTCACATACATATGAAAAAAGGCTATTTTAACACAGATTTTAAGATATCTGAAGTGAGAAAAATCAAGCTTGTCTAAACTGCAACCTCTCCACATGCCATAATTAACAAGTAAAGCATTTATATTGGAAAACATAAAACTACCATAAGCCCATAGAAGTGACCTTGGAGGTCACCAGGTCCAACATCGTCATTTTATAACTGAGAAAACTGAGAGGCTAAGAGAAATAAAGTGACTGGCTCCAAGTCAACGAAGACATGCCAAGAGTCAGAATTGGACCTGAGGTCCTTTGACCCCACTCTACCACACTACTCTCATTTGGGCCATTTCTGATTTCTAATCCCTGCAAGCCTTTGGATTGACCCGGGTCATGGATTCCTTATGTGCTCCTCCGAGTTCTCTTTTCACATGAGGGACTATGTTGGACTTTCAGACACAGCTGCATTTGGAGAGCCAGTCTCATATTTTAATCAATGACAGTCATTCCAGAAATTGTTCCAAAAATCCACCTTTTGGCCTGCAAATAATCACTAGTAGTTAAACCACTACTAAACTCCTTGAAAAATAGGAATGAAGATTTCACCCAGATACTTTTTTGTCTTTTAAAAAGTCAGTTTCATACCCACCACTGGACATAAAAAAAAAAAAAAAAGCTATTGTCTTTCCTGCCCACCTGATATTACCTTCTGGGTAAGAAGGCAAATGGTCATTTCCAAGAATAAGTTAAAAAACAATGTAGAAAAAGGTGCTGTTTTGTTATGGGGAAGGGTACATGTGGAAAAAAATGCTGAAGCTTTGCCCCTAAAGAAAAGGAATGTGAGAAACCTATCTAGATTAAAAAATAAACCACAGCAACAAAAAAGCCCTCTACTTAAGTCTTACTGAGTAATTTATCTTCCAAAACAAAAAGGCAGTGACAATTAATTGCTGTCCCCATCACTTCTTTCGTTGTGGTCCCTTACAACTCTAGGCGACTGAGCAGGACCTGAATGGGTTCATCAATTCAGAACAAGACATCTACTGGTAGACTTCAGGGATTATGCCCTCCAAGGTTCTAGAGAGAAAATCTGGGCGTTCCATTCGTCTAACATTGGAGCCCGATGCTAATGGAGATGTTTAGATGATCTTTATGGCTGAAAGACATACAAATATGTATCTAAATCCAAAAGAATTGCTGGAAAATGGTATCTAATACAACACTTGGGGTTCTGGACCAATCAAAATATAGATGATTTCAATGCCCACTATTTTAACATGAATTTAAGACCTTTTAACTCAGAGTTTTCAAACAAAGTAGATCTTAAATTTTTAACTCACAAAGTTAATTTCTTTTCTAAGGAAGAATAAAATTATTTCTAAAAATGATTTTAAAAGTATGTTGAGATGAAATGAGAATCACTAGTTTGGAGACTAATTCCTCCTCGTTCTTCTCAAAAGGGCAAAAGGAACCACGAAGAAGGGGGCTGGACTGAGAATCAGAAAATTTACTTTGATCATCATCATAGCATTTATGGTATGCCCTTTGGGAACATGGCACTGAATGTGGCATTTCCTGTTTTTATCTCCAACTGCAATTCACTGAGCAAATCTTGGCATAAAACTTTCTCATGTTTCGATTTTTTTCCCACTGTAATACTAAAGATAACCCAGATTTCTTTTTCTTTCATAGTCACAATGTAAGAGCAGAATAATTTGTCTGGTAAAATGCCTGGGAGAGTCATTTAGGAAAAGGTAGATTCAATGAAATGGGACATAAGACAATGGAAAGGGCATCTGGCTGGGGGTTCTAGGTCTGGTTCTTGAATCTAGAAGCTGAATAAGCTTGAGCAAGTTAATGGCACCATAAATTTATGGCTGGAAGAGAACTTAGTTGTCATCCAGCTGAACTTACTGGTTTATTTTATGGATATGGGAAAGTGACTTGCCCCATATCACATGAGTAGTTAGTTTCAATGCCAAGATCTGAACCCTGGTCTTCTGACCTTAAATAAAGCATTCTCCTCTATTGTATCACTTTGCTTTCCTGGTTTCTTTTTCTTTAAAATGGGGATCCTCTCACCTGATTCTCCTACTCACAGGGCAAGTGCTGTTGTAAGGATCAAATGAGAAAGTGGATGTGAAAGGACTTTGAAAACTGTATGGCCCTATGCAAACAATGTGTAAGAGGTTAAATATTAGTCATCACATACATATCAAGGGTTTAGCAAATGTTTGTTGATTGAATATGACATCATGCATATCACACACACACACACACACACACACACACACACACACACACACACACGTACACATACCTATGTATTGTCGCTAACCCTCCTCCCAGCCAGACTGAGTTATATTCCTTTTATTTTGGCTTTTTGTGACGTGTCCAACATCTGAATTGCAAAATTGATCTTCAAATAGTAAAATATTTCTTCAATCAATACCATTTAATCTGTTCTATCCATGTCAGCTAATCACCTTCATATGTACTTATTGGTATCTTTAAGCACATTTATATATGCACAGATGAAAAATACTTGAAGTATTAACATGTCAGTCTCGACACAGTGGAACTTCACTCATTACACAAAAAGAAGACTCCACAGTCTTGCATTTTGAGTGGAGGTGGGGAGAAGGAAGGAAGGAAAGTAACAGGCATCTACTACGTGCCAGGCAGCGTGCTGAGTGCTTTATAAATATAATTACTTGATTTGATCCTCACAACAACCCTGGGATGAAAGTGCTATTCTTTCCATTTTACAGCCGGGGAAACTGAGGCAAACAACTTGCTTAAGGCATAGGAAGTGTCTGAGGCTAGATTTAGCTTCAAGCCTTCCTGACCCCAGACCCAGCCACCTATTTGACATGTCAAACACATGCCATGCAAAAAAACTCCAACCTGGCTTTGCAGCAGAGAGTCCTAGAAAAAGACAGTTCCCACCAAAAGAGAGAAAGTGATTCATTAGGTATTATGAGGACAATTCCAAGATAAAGAGATATGTCCCTGTGCTAAGCAGCCCACAGCCACGTTACACAGTCTACTCTGACCCTTGTGTATTTGAATGCTTCCAAAATCTATCTATACATATAGACATAATACCAATACACACACACGTTTATAGTTATCTACACCTACATGTATATATAGCTAAAGCTGTCTCTACATATATCTATATGTACATATCTATATCTATACATTACATGTATGTGTATTTGTATGTGAATGTATGAATGTTTGTATGCATGCACATGCATGTATGTGCATATATATGTGTGTGTGTACGTATGTATGTATCTATCTACCTATCTTCATTCTTAAGATGCTCATGCCAAGGGTCTCATCTCTCTCTGTATGTATGTATGTCGAGATATATCCATATCCATATAGCTATGTCTATATACATATTTAAATCTATATAGCTACATCTCTCTTTCTAGGGGTGTGTGTGTGTGTGTGTGTGTATGGATGTGTATATATAAAAAAGAGAGAGAGAGGGAGGGAGACAGAGAGAGATAGAGACCGAGAGAGAGACAGACAGACAGACAGAGAGACCCTGGGCATGAGACCGTAAGGACAAAGCATCCCAGTGAAATGGCACACACAACAATGATTCACAAGGACTATCTCATAGGAGGAAAAAGACCCCAGACTAAGCAGGCAGGTGAGAATCCTGAAATATTATCACCCTACTTGTAGGAGCTTAAATTTTTGTCCTGTCCTCTCCACTATCACCAGATAGGTGAAGACCGATAGAGTCACAAGGAGAAGACCACAGCAGGCTGCCTAAAATGGCAGGGAGTTGTTATTTAAGGACTGCTAATCAAAATTCTTTAAGGTCTCCCCCCCCCCCCCCCCCCCCCCCGCCTCTGCCTCTGTCTCTGTCTTTCTCTGTCTCTGTCTTTCTCTTTTGGTCTTGAAATGCTTTCTCTTGCCCCACCCATTAGCTAAATGGCTGCCCTCCTCCCAGAAAACAAGAAGCAGCCGGGGAAATGCACCATTTACACCCACCATCAGTGTTTTGACCAGCTGAATGGCAACCCCCCGACTGCCGAGCTAAGTCCTCCATGCAATTCCACCCATGACCTACAGGTGTCAGCGTCTGCATGGAGAGGCATGCGAGGGGGCAGCTGGCTTCAGGACTCAGACACTGTCTGGGCTGCCTAACCTGAGCATGTGGGAATAATATATGTCTTCAAGTGAACTGTCTGGTTCTCGGGAAATAAAATAGGACATTCATAAGCAGTTACACCATCTGTCTTTAGACCATCATCATCAACAACAAGGGGAAAAATAGCTCTTTAAAATGGATGAAAGCCCGGGCTGACAGTAACCGGAAAACTGTGAGCTATGAATACCAATAAAGGTAGAAAAATGATTAAAAAACAAAGATACAAACTACAGAATCCTCCAGCCGGCTCCAGGGCCCACACTGTCTTGCAGGAAAGGTGTTTCTGTTTTTGTTTTTAACTCTCCCAAGGATAAAGAAAGCCCTTCACTGAGAGCCAAGTCGGAAATTCACTGGACCTTGGGGTCAAGGGCTTCGAGGCTGGCTTACTCTGCAGAAGGGTCTCTCATTTTCCCTCCTTTGAGTCAAATGGCACGAGGGTACAGGCAGGAAAGTGTCTATTAGAAGGGTAAGATGGAATTAATCCAGTTTTTAATTTGGAGAGAGGCAGAAATATTGCTATTCATGGTTCCGTTTTTAGAAACGTCCGTAGGACAGACATACTGATTGAGTACCAAGCAGAGCAAGATCTTTTCTTGGGCCGG